GCGCCAGACCTCGGCCCTCCGGAAGGGCGAATCCCGGTAGCGGCCTCCTTGGGGGCCGATGGGGCACGGGGAAGAGCCCCGACCCCAGGGAGGAGCCCAGGGTGGGCCGGGTCGCTCAGGGGAGGCTGCAAGAGAACTCGGAGGGCCCTGGGAGGCTGCAGCCGGGCCAAGGCAGGGGAGGCCGCAGGCGGGCCCTGTCTAGCCGAGTTTTACTGCCCAGTCTCAGCACGAGCAGGAGGGTGCAGAGAGCATCCACATGGTGGCCGAGAACCCTGCTGTGTCCTTGCAGGCTTCTGTCAGGGCTGAGCTCCCGGTGCTTCGGTTACTGCAGCTGCAGCCCTTTTGCATACTGGGGAGCTTGGTTGTGAGCTCAGTTTTGTTCTCTTGTCTTTGACTCCTCTATTGACAGGTTGATTCTTCTTGGCTCTTCAGCCTCTTCTTCAGTCTCAGTTAGCAGTGTCTGTTGCTACAGTGTCTCCTCATTTGAGAGTCCTTTCTTTTACAGTTCTTCTTTTATGTTCCGATTGACCTCCAGTTCTTCTGTTGCTTCCAGGCTGCCGATTGTGCAATACCTTTCTTTGAGTCAGAAACACAACCTGTTCTGCAACTCATTGAAGTGTTGTAACCTTCAGCCTCCACCCCCCATACTCACAACACTTGTTTCTGAGTCATCCGTAGATATTTTTATTCCAGATCAGGGCATGTGTTCTGTCCATGAGTGACTCTTCATGCTGTATGTTTTGTGGCCCAAGTTTCAGATTTATGTTAACAGTCTGTCATTACAACACCGTATTTATTTTGTACTGTCCATGAGACTCAGTCTCTAAATCTTTCACATCTGCATAAGGTCAAACGTCAGTAGAAGTCATGAAATGCCAGCTATGCCTGCACGCTTTGTAAGCACTACAGACAGTACTGGTGGCTTCTGAATACCTGAAATGATTTCTGGGTTCTTCCATCACAGTTTGTCAAAATGTGTCCACATCTTGAGACCTCTGTTGTTGAGAACCTCACTAGATCTGAGATAGCCTCTCTCATGGGGGTATTAAGCTATCTCTTCTCATGCTGGTTAATCTTTGCTGGCAGGCTTAATGGGGGCAACAGGCATGTGTTTCAGTTGGTTTTGACTTTAGTTGCCTGAGTGTTCTCTCTAGCGAAGTGCTCACAACATATTTTGGAATATTTTGTGAACTCTCAAAAAAACTACACATTATTTTTTAAGATGCTTGCAGTTAAGTTTTTATGCTGTTTCTTTTTTCTGTAGCCTTTTAGCTTGGTGGATTGTTTTTTCCTTGCCAGCCCCTTTGGGTAGCTGATGTTCCTGTTCCGTGTGTGTTCTGAGGATAGATGTCCTTCATGATAAAAGCTATTTGTTGTTCCAGATTCATGGAGCCATGGAATGGTTTGGGTTGGAAGGGACCTTAAAGATTAACTCGTTCCAACGCCCTGCCATGGGCAGGGACACCTGCCATTAGCCAAGGTTGCTCAAAGCCCCATCCAGTCTGGCCTTGAGCACTGCCAGGGAGGGGGCATCCACAGCTTCTCTGGGCAACCTGTGCCAGTGCCTCATCACCCTCAGAGTGAAGAATTTCTTCCTTATATCTAACTTAAATCTACACTCATTCAGCTTGAAGCTGTTACCCCTTGTCCTATTGCTACATGCCCTTGTAAAAAGTCCAGTCTCATATTCTTTTCCAAAAAGACCAAGTGGAGATTGCTGCTGAGCCTTTTCTTGCAGGGGGCAGAAGAGTTTTTTGTCAACATCAGTCATCGAGCAATTTAAGAACAAATTTGGACTTCCAAAAGAAAGAACAGAGTGCTTTAGATTGTAAATGAATGATTATTAAACAGTTCTCTGTAGAGAAACTACAGACAATCAACTTATCTTGCAGTGCTGTCAGAAAGCATTGTTGAGTCTGCCCTGCTTAGCTGTCAGAGGTTTACACTGGGAGCAGGACTCTGGATCCACACTTTGCCATGTTTACACATCATTGTTTTGGGAATGGTGGAGGCATTATCCTCATTATGGATTGGTTTTCTCTGATCTGGGGCAGGGGGGGGGGCATGCTGCTGTTAGTATTTATTTGTTGTACAGTGTGGGAGCTCTTATGTGGAGAATTTAGATCGTGCCTTAACTCCATTTCTGGATGTACGGCCCTCACTGATACTATGCAGTGGAAGTACAAATTTTTCTTGTTTAGATGATTTGGCCTTTGACGAGACCAAGCTAATGTTACAGTTAAGTTAAGCCAGGTTCAAATCTAACCTGTAGCAACACTCCTGTTTGGCATAGACTGAGATGCCTTCTGGAGCACCTTGCTCCTTCCATGGCTGCATGGGGACCCAGTGTGATGAATTCTTCAATGTAGGTGCCAAAGTTATACAAGAAGTAGCTGGATTTGCAGCGTTACAAATTGTAGGGTAGATTTGAACATCTCTGTTTATACAAGATGTCTTTGTGGTCCTCTGTTGGAAAATGCTGGAGCTGCTGGCAAGCCTCCAGACTGCTGTTCTCCCAAAGGATTGCATTTTCATGTGAGGGATTTGATATGCTGAAACTGAGAGAAGGAGAGAGCAAGTGGTTAGAAGTAGCTTGCTCATTTGTAATTTTCTCAGCCACAGAAATATCCCAGTGGGTGAGCTAGAACAGCCCTTTGGATGGACATGGGGTAGCCTTGTGTTCTTTCACGAAGTGGTTCTGCACAGCTCTCATCCTCTGCTCACAGACATGATCCTACAGCTGGAGGATGTAGTAGGCTGCATAGCAACAGGCCAGGCTTTCTCCAGATCTATTGCTGTCTGCAGGTATTAGGTGCAGGCGAGCAAACAGCTAGCCTGCATGGTTGTGGTTGGGAGGAAGTCTGGAAGGTGATAAGGCTGTGTAGCACTGGAGTAAGGGGAGCCTGGCAGGGCATGGCTACACAGATGTTGCTCTCATGGATGCCAGGAAAAACCACAGATCTCTGTACCTTCTTGGGTAAGGGGGAAGAGATGAACTTAGCTTTCTGCAGGTCCTGGCTGCTCTGAAGTTCATCAGATTGTCACCAAGACTGTTCTGAGAAGGAGCTAGGCTCACGCAAAGGGGATATGATGAAATCACTTACAAAACCTCTTGCTGTTCTCTTGTCACAGGCACCAGAAGTGCAGTGCTTAACACAGAAGCCCGCACTGTAGAAGCGGATGTCCTGAGCCGCCGCTGCATCATGATGAGGCTGGTGGATTTCTCCTATGAGCAGTACCAGAAGGCTCTCCGCCAGTCAGCTGGTGCTGTGGTGATCATCTTGCCGCGATCTATCTCTTCTGTCCCACAGGATGTTGTAAGGGTAAAAAAAAAAAAATTTTTCACGTTGTCCTCTGGTGGGAGATGTATTTGAGAGGGAGAGAGGCTTAGGTTGCTGCAGGACTGAAAGCTCCTGTTGTAATGCACAACAGATTGTATTCTAATTTTAAAACTTACTTTTCTCTCTCTGCTTTGGTTTAATTTTTTTCTGCCCTCTTGCATGTTTAGCAGATGCTAAGTATGTGTCTCGCTTAAATCCTCAGCAATTCATGGAGATAGAGCCAGAAATGCTTGCTATGGAAACCATTGTGCCAGTCTACTTTGCAGTGGAAGATGAAGAGCTGCTGTCTATCTATGAACAAACACGGGCTGCTTCTGCATCGCAGGGTTCTGCCTCAGCTGCAGAAGGTGAGTTCTAACAAGTCGGGGAAAGGTTTAGAGGAACACAGTCCTGATCCCACCTCTGGGAGCAGTCTGCTGTGTCATATGCACCATGAACCAGTGTTCTGTTGCCTGCATGTTTATTCTTTGTTAAAGTGCAGTGAGATTTAATGGAAGAAAAACACAGTATGAGTATTACTTGACTATATTTGGAAGTACAGTTGCATGGGGCTGAGTTCTCAGCTTCATGCTGTTGCAAGTAAGATAGAAAGCAAAAGTCACGTTAAAAACAACATTGAAGATGTTAAGTGACTACAGTGTATTGGTAGAAGCTGAAGCTTTTTGTGTGACCACAAGTCAGCTCAGTGCTTCCATGTATTCCCCTGTAAATAACTTCACTGTCTTACTGACCTGCTGCTCACGATTAACTTTAGGACACGGCTGGAGAAAAGTTTTGGTTTAGCCAGGTCACCAGGATTCTGTGTTAATGCATAAACACACGCAACGAGTGAGCGGGTTTAAATGGTTTAAAGCAGGTCTCTGCAAAGCTCAGTTAGCAAGAGAAATGAAGGGATGAAACTTCCCCAGGTGTACTTTTTTTTGTGTTCTAGTTCTGCTGCACACAGCGACTGCCAATGGCTTCCAGATGGTGACCAGCGGGGCTCAAAGTAAAGCTATCAATGACTGGCTCATACCCAGCGTGGAGGTGAGTTGCATATGTATTCAAACTGGCAACATTGGTGGGATGCTTTCTTTTATTGGGACTTCATCAGACACTTGGACTGATAGGGGAAGTCAGGGGAGTCTCAGCCAGGTGTCTGAAGTCCTCAGAACTGAGGCTGCTGCAGACTCAACAGGCATGGGGGAAGCTCTTTTCAGTGGTGCCCAGTGACAGGACAAGGGGCAATGGGCACAAACTAAGGCACAGGAAGTTCCGTCTGAACATGAGGAAGAACTTCTTCCCTCTGAGGGTGACGGAGCCCTGGCCCAGGCTGCCCAGGGAGGTTGTGGAGTCTCCTTCTCTGGAGATATTCAGGACCCGCCTGGACAAGGTCCTGTGCAGCCTGCTCTGGGTGACCCTGCTTGGGCAGGGGGGTTGGACTGGGTGACCCACAGAGGTCCCTTCCAACCCCTACTATTCTGTGATTCTATGTAGAAGTCAGGCTGTGTTTGTACAGGCACACAAGAGGCGATGCTGAGTGACACTGATCTGTTTCTTCTGCAGGGAAGGCTAACGGGGCTGGGTGGAGATGATCTGCCCACTGTTGTGATAGTTGCCCACTATGATTCTTTTGGAGTGGCTCCGGTGAGTATTCTTTCTTCCTGAAGATCTCTTCTTGTCTTTTTTCTCATGTGGCTTCTGCCCCTATGTTTTTTCTTGGCGTGAAAGGTGGGGGGCAGTTAGAAGTGGAGCATGGTGGTGTGCTGTCGTGAAGGCTGTTGTGGTAGGTGAGAATAAATGTAGGGTTGTCACTTTGTCCCACTTCATCCTGCAGTGGCTGTCACATGGTGCTGACTCCAATGGCAGTGGTATCTCAGTGCTACTGGAACTAGCCAGGCTGTTTTCCCGGCTCTACACCTACAGACGTACCCATGCTGGGTAAGAAACTGCCCTGTTCTTGGTTGAATGTGTGTAGCTGAGATCAGATAAGGATTTTTGCTTCAGACCTGTAGAGTGTTACAAGCAGTCCTTCACTTCCTTTGCTCTGTTATGTTTTTCTCCGAGTACAGCTGCTGTTAACGGTCAGGGTCCTTCCTGTGGTTTCTTTGCTGATGTGGAAAACAGATTCCATCCTCAGGCACTGGGAACTCCACCCTTTTACCCCGTCCTGCCTTACCTTAGTATGTGGCATGTAGGAAGTGTTTGTTAATGGACAGTTTGCCTTGACTGTTGGGTGCTAGCTGTTGTGATTTCACCACACCTCCAAGGATGCGTAAAGGAGTTCTGCAGCCATGGAATGCAGCATGCTTACACTATTCTGTCTTCTTTGATGGGCAGGTATAACTTGCTGTTCTTTGCATCTGGAGGTGGCAAGTTTAATTATCAAGGAACAAAGCGGTGGCTGGAAGATAATTTGGACCACACTGGTGAGTAGGGGGCTGCATTCCAGCATGTTCTGTGGCAAGGCCTCTGTTAATACGACGGTGTTAAGTATCTAGTATGTCAGCCCTCCTGTGAGGATCTCCTTGTGTGGGCCTTGCTTTTTTGGGTTGGAAATCCCGGCACAAAACATAACAATAAAGGTTTGGATTTTTGTGTTCCAGATTCCAGCCTGCTGCAGGACAACGTAGCATTTGTTCTCTGCCTGGATACTCTGGGCCGAGGCAATAGCCTTCATCTCCATGTCTCAAAGCCGCCCAAGGAGGGGACCTTGCAGCATGCATTTCTGAGAGAACTGGAGATGGTAATGAAAAGCATTTTAGGTAGATGGGAACTTGGGAATTACTAAGGGGAGCTGCAGCTTTACAAGAGAGGAAGGTAGGAAGACGTGAAGAAAGGATGTGCCATGGAAATATTTCATGCATTGTTTACGGTCACTTGGTTTGATATGCAGGCAAATCCTCATGCCACAGTCCCAAATGAAGCAGACTAGATCTGCTGCATTTTCCACTGCACTGCTTATGGCTTGTTGGTTGCAAAAGCTACCCTGTAGTGACATGAAAACAGTGGTTTTGACATTAAAACAGCTTTTTAGTGGCAGTAACTGCACCTTACAGGTGGAAGTGCATTTACCTTCTGGAACACAAATAAAATTTGGTCTAGGTGGACTGGGCAGTGCAAGATGGGACTATGCAGCAGGCAGCCTGACACCCTGGATGGCTTGTCCTTTCCCTTAGGTTGTTGCCAGCCAGTTCCCAGAGGTGAAGTTTTCCATGGTGCACAAGAAGATAAATTTGGCTGAGGACATGCTGGCGTGGGAACATGAGCGTTTTGCAATCCGGCGCTTGCCAGCATTCACCATCTCCCATCTGGAGAGCCACCGGGACAGCCTGCGCAACAGCATCATGGATAGGAGGTTAGAGGCCTTAGGGAAGATGCAGCTGAAATCCAGTCCATAAACACAAATTGGCATCATGACTGCTTGTGCTGTTCTGATGGTCAAAGGACCAGTGAAAAAACACTGGGAGTTGGGCTCTGGATTCAGGGTCGTGTCTGATATGGTGAAAAAGGGTGGTTTCTAGAGGAAGCTGATCCACTCTTTTGCTTTAGGGCACGAATAGACACTAAGGCACTAACCAGGAATACTAGGATCATTGCTGAGGCTTTGACAAGGGTCATCTACAACCTAACAGACAAGGTAAGAGCTGCCAGTTGTACAGTGCTAGCCAGATTTGTCCTGCCCAACCAAGCTTGCTCTCGCCAGTAGCCCGGGTTTTTTTTTTATCCTTGCAGGGAGCACCTGCAGATCTGCAGATCTTCACGGATCAGATGGTGAGCACAGTGCATTTTTGTAACCTGTGGGAAGAAGGAATCAAGAGTCTGGGGGAGAGGTCTGGTCTCAGCATATGTGTGGTTGAGTCCCTTTTCTTTGGTGTTATTTTACTGCAGCAGGTCCAGCAGGAGCAACTGGAGTCTGTGATGGACTGGCTGAGCAGTCAGCCCAGGGCTGCCCAGCTGATTGATAAAGACAGCACCTTCCTCAACACCTTAGAATATTATATGGGTCGCTACCTGAAGGATGTCAAACAGCATCATGTAAAGGCAGACAAACGGTAAGAAAAGAGATGAAAGAAGCAGCTAGGGCATGCAAACTGGCTTCCACCTCCAATGAAATTTGTCTCTGAGCTGCAGCTTTTCTTGCTTCTTGGCATGTAGCTGGAAGTGATTGCTCTTTTCTGCGTTCCTGTCAGTTTTGATTTGTGCTGTCTGTTCTCCCAGAGAAAGCACTTTATCTTTCTTCACAGCACAGTAAGGAGTCCCAGCAGCTCCCTCTGTCTGAAGAGCTTGTTTTTCACGTTTTGGTTCCACCCTTCCCACTCTGAGTGCTGCTTCTCTCTGAAGGAAAAGACCATAGTCTTAGTTCTCTAGAAAGCTTTCTTTAATTGCAAAAAGGCAGCTTACATCCCATCTAACCTGCTTGGGTTGAAGTAGTTTAATGAACCCAGTGAGGCGTCTTCCATATGCTTCTTCTGAGACGGCTGGACAGCATGTGTTTTTGTCTTTAGGCTTCCGATTGTGGGAAAAAAAAGACGACTAAAATCAGTTCAAAACTGGTATGCAGGGTGGTCATGCTTACCTCCTTTGGAACAGAGGTCTGGGCTCTCCTTACTGCAATGTCAAGAAGTGTAATACAACCTGAAGATTTTCTTCTTTTCACAGGGATCCTGAATTTGTTTTCTATGACCAGCTAAAACAGGTGATGAACGCATACAGGTATGGAATTACCTTGGGCATGTTCGGCTGTTGTCTCACTCTGTGGCAGTTCCTGCTGTAGCAATTTCATGTGTTCTTTCTTCATTGCAGGGTCAAACCAGCAATCTTTGACCTGCTTCTGGCTGTCTGTATTGCAGCCTACCTTGGTGTTGCCTATATTGCAGTGCAGGTAAGAGAAGCACGAGACAGATACTTTTTTTTTTTTTCCCCCTCCTAAATCACGTTGGCTATAGTAACTGGTACTTGCAGTGCCGGCACCAAAGTTGGGATAATAATACTACCCCACTCTAAAATTAATAATCCAAAATGGCTGGCTGTTTTGTTGTGAATATTTTTTAGTATCTCAGCTGGCTGTGCTGAAGGCAATCTCTTGCCGTTCTAGTGCAAAACTATTTTATAGAGCTCTGTCTCTTGATCAAGGACGTGCTCAACTCGCTTGTTAAGCTAATTTTGGCTATGTAACAGCTTCAGACTGAAACTTCTCCAGGTAACTGAAATCCGTTGTAATGTTAAACATTTGCATCTTGTAGTAAGTTAGGGGCATTAGGAGATCTTGGATCTGAACTTGGGATGCAGCAGCCAGCTTAAATTTAGCGTTTTTGTTTAAGTGTTAACAAAGCCACTGTGAGCTAGGCTTCTGGTCCTGGCTGGGTTCTCTGAAGAACATGAATGAAAGGGAAGTGTTTAAGGTCAATCTAAATTTTGATCTTTTCCTTGTATTTGTGTTTATTATTTGTTTGGGGAAACAACGAGCATTTTAAAATCTGATGTAACAACGTAAACAGGAGGGAAAGCATATGCTTTGATTTCTGTCAGCGATCTTCATTACATTTGTTATTACAAATTATTTGAAGCCTGGATCTTGTTGTATCTGTCAAACATCTGAAGTAGTTGTTACCGAATCAAAATGTAATTAATCAAAGCAGAATCAAAACAGGAATTAAGTTAATGTCTAAGTCACGGATGAAATGATGAAAGGGAAGATCCATTTAAAGGATTGTGAACTACTGGGAATCTCTGTGTTTGCCTGGTTCATTTTCACATTCCTGAAGCTGCTAGCAGCAGTGTAAGCCATCACTTTCTGTACAGTGACAAGTAACTGGCTTCACTATTCCTCCTAATTCAGCAAGTCCCGCTCTGACTTGAGGATGAGGGAGCTAGTGGATGATCTAAACAAGGTGTTGCATTTGCGAGCTAGTGGATGATCTAAACAAGGTGTTGGATTTGCACATCAGTATTGTTTTAATACTTCTAATAAGTTTTCTCTCTGTGTAGAACACAGTTATTTTATTAGAATTTGTAAGGACTCATGGTTAATTATTTTCCTTCTGTTTCCAGCACTTTGGTCTCCTATACAAGATGATACAGAGATTATCCCTTAAAACCAAGCAGCAGTGAAGCAACGAGTCATCACCCATACAGCAGCACTGAGCCACCGGTGAGCCCATCAGGAACCTTCTGCCTTCTATTGAATCCTACTGTTTCTCTTCCTCTGTCTCCTCTTTGCTACTTTACAGAGGAGAGGAAGGCAGAAAGAACATGAAATTTTAACTCTTGTGCAACTTTTAAGTGCTTTTCTTCACCTTCACCTGACTTGCACCATGTCTGTTTTCCTTTGCTTTTTGGCAAGGGAGAGGCTCAGAGACTTCAGTAATTCTTGCAGGTTGTTTAAACACTGAACGGCTGATTCTGAGCAGCTTGGAGTGTAAAACCAAGTCCAGCACCTTCATGGGCACATGTGCTATACAGCCAACTTGAAAACTGAAACTATAGACTAGAGTGACATGTTATCTCTGCCCAGCAAACAAGAACTCAGAGCAGTTGTTTAAAAAAAACACCTGCAGATGCATATTAAAGATAATACTATTAGCACATTTTGCTATGGCACCCTTTCCTTAAGTTCACTGCCTGGCTTTAGGAAGGTGTGGTGAGCAAGCAGTGTCTGCAGCAAGCATCTTCTTGTGTGTTGTTTAGACTGTGCAATAACTCATTTGCTTTTAGGAGGTGCACTGTAAACTACCTTGACTGTTATTGACAGAATGAGGAAAGATTGTTAAAATGGGTTCCTTGCATTAGGGTTCTTACCAGAACAGGTTCTCTCCTATTGGAGGGTGCATTTTGCTGTGTATGTGTTTTCTCTTAAAGTTTATGGTCCTTGAACAGTTCACGGCTGTCACCACTCGGTGCTAAACCCTTGCTGGGTTTTTAAGGGGTGTTCTACAGTCCTAGCTGCTGCGGGATTGTGTTCTGTGCTGTTCTGTGTATTTAAATGAGCTGGCTATGTTAATAGCAAGAACAGCCTAGCTCCTGCTGAGCTCTGGTCTGTAGTCCCTTGAATCTTCATTCCTCAGTTTTCACTTCCAGATGGGTTCTGGATTTTGGCATGTTTTCCCGTGTTCATTTGCATCTCAGGGTCTCACTTCACATTTTTCAGCTCTATTATTTCTGGAAACACTGTTCCTGGCCTGCCCGTACGAGCAAGTCCCCGAAGTGCTTGTTGCTGTCCTTTCATGTGCTGCCCCCAGTATGTACGAAGGGAGGCAGGTCACTTAGCCATTAAAAAGCAAAACAAAACAAGTGAAGTTTTATGAATGTCATTTTAAACATGGCTGTTACTGGAACTGTACCTAAGAGTGTATCGTGGAACACATGTTCTCTGCTACTTTTATCCTTGAGCAAGCCTTATTTTTGTTTTGCCTATGCTTCTGGATTGAGAGCGCTATGTAGTTGCCCAAAATAGTTGCCAGTGCTGTGCAAAGATCAGGAGGGCCAGGTAACCAGTTGCTCAAGCATTGTGATCATCTTAACTTTAAGTCTTTCCTGAACTCCACCATCCAAGGTAAGCAGGATACTTGTCACCACTTTCTGGTGAGAGCTGAATGCCCTTTCTGGGCAGTATTGCACTTTGTTTACCCTCAAGTTCTTCGGGAAAATATATCAAGATACTGACTGAGTCCTAGGCTGGTTGTAATTCTAGAAGACGTCCTGATTGAGTACTGCTGTCCTGCCACTCAGCAATGTTTGAGTCTTTTCTGTGGTTTGTTCTATGCACATGAGGTCTCTTCACAGGCCACGGTGACTACTTTTTTTTTTTTTTAAATGACTACTTGTATTTAAAATAGCATCTTTTACAGAGGCTGAAAAGATCTTGTGGGTTTGAATGAAGGTGTAACTTTTTTTTTTTTTTATGCAAGGAAAATTTAGGCTGTGCATCCTTGACTGTTCCATAGCTGCTGTGCGTGCACTTGTTAGAAAAGGAGAAAGGAGTTGTGAGTCCTTGTCCTTTGGAGGGGGACCAAAGTACTGATTTCTATCCATCTTTGTTTCACTGTAGTCTCCTTCTTGGAGTACCCTTAGGCCGTGATGTGTGCTTTCTGCTACTTTAAATGTGTAGTAACTTGTTCTTTAAAGGGTTTTTTCTTTTCCAGGAGAGCATGCTGATGTCAGTGGCTCACTAATATCAGCAGGTGGCATGATACCAAGCACTCCTAAAATATTAACCCTATAGGGAAACTTGCCTTTTTCTGATCTTTTGAGTGCTTATTTGAAATACACCTGTCTGCATGCATGAAGTGTTTGTGACACTCCTCTGCCAAATGAATTTATAATGCCATAGAAATTGCTAGAGTGGCTGGAAGACGAGCCTTGATTGTTTTCCACTGGCTTTTATGCACTTCCCGTAGAGACTACATATGTTGTGCTGTGGGAGGGTGCATGCTCTGGACTGTGCAGGTTCGGAATATGCACAGTACAGTGGCTATCTGAAGAAGTTCTCTGTAGGTTCTCAATATGTGGAAGTAGTTTTAGAGGCTTCCAGCTGCATCATATATTTCTACTATGTTAACACTTCGAGAGGGGCTGTTGCTTCTAATCTGGCAGATTACTTAACCAGGCTTAATGAAACTCTGTTACTTCACTGAGAAAAATAGAAAAAACCTAAATTATTAGCAATTCTGCTGCAGCTTGACTTGATGCATATAAAATTTGCAAGTAGTGGGCAAGAGAGAACAGAACAGGCCCAGAGCATTCTTCCTTGCAGTGGAGACTGTCAGCCTTTGGTCTTCCAGATGAGAAGCTCAAAGTCCAGAGTCAAAAACTTCACCAAGGCAACGCAGTGTGGTTGTGGCATTAAAGCAAACACTTTAGTTCCTTATGGTCTCCACGATAAACTGCTAATGCTTCTAAATGCAGTGCCAGAAGCCAGTGGCAGAAATCTAAAAGAAAGGTGGATAGAGGTAAATGAGGAGAGTTCATAAACCTGAAGGGCAGTTGGGATAGTACATCGCGCTCTCCCACACGAGGGGAAATTGCCCTATAATCTGATTGGATGCATTTTGTGTATCTACAGCTGCCTGCCATAGAAAGTAGTTTTTACGACAGAAAAGTGTTTATGCTTTTGATCAAAGTGCATGTGCACTGAAACATTATATACTCAAATTTGAGACAAGTTAAATTCCAGCTTTCTCATAGCTGGAACAGAGCGCCCATCCTGGGAGTGAACTTAGTTCTCTCGTTGCTGTTACCTTTGAGAAGTTGACAGAGAAGCTTGTCAATAGACCCTGCTATTCTGCTATGTTTTGAAAAAAAATCAAGAAAAATTTTGCTGGTCCGTACTGCAGCATATGTGAACAGTTCTGTCACCAACATAACATGCAAAGGCAGAAATGCAACAGCTGTTCTGGTAAAATAAGAGTTCTCCACAGCATTGCAGAAGAGCTCTGTGTAGCTGATTCTTGTTACCCCTATTTTTACCTATCGTTTTTATCAGGAGTTTGCCTGGCCTGGAAGGAAGAAGCATGGAAAGCCTATCTCCACGTACACATAAGTGGCTAGCAGTTGGTGCTTCTAGCCCTAAAACAATTTTCTTTGCTAGCTGTCGATTTTACCTGTTGTCCTGGTGCTGTCAAAGTCTGCAACTCACAAGAACCTGGGTTTCCAACAGGATTTAAGCACTGAAGCTCTTTATTCCTTCTGTCCGCTCCCACCCACACAGGCACTAATGGGGATTATGTTCGAGTAATTTGCACTATTGTAGTTGATCTCCCAAATAAGAAAAGTTGGTTCATTGTTATGAAATAAGCACTACTTGTACTCAGTGCTAAGAGGAAAGACCCTGAAGCCAAAACGGAGCTAAGTACCCCACCATCAGTGGCTGGAGGAGTCACCCAATCTATTTAGATGTTTAAAGCCACAGATACCCACAATTGTGGGGCTTGGTTTTGGAGGATGTTTGTTTGTTTGTTTGTTTTAAATCGTGCACTGTCATATTGTTTATAGCACAAGCCGAAATACCGAGCTTATCCTGCATCTTGTAGCCAAGCTGGGTTTTACACTTAAGAGCCATTCAGTCTTGACTTACCAGTCTGAAATGATGGGAGTACTCCTATATGTCTCAGTAAACTGGGCCTCTGGGTACTCAAGTGTGGGCTCCTGCTTGCTCACTTTGATCTGTTTAGTTTCCATTTGTAGTTATTGGATAACAACTTCAAGGTTATAATCTGGAATGTTTGCAGCTCAGGAAAAAGAGTTGATTTATCTAGCAATGTTAACTCAATTATTTATCTCTTGTGTGTCCTAAAGAACAAATGTATATTGAGGTGAATATTTAAAAGGTAATAGAAAATTCCATGCCGTTGATTTACATATTTTTTTCTGACTATAAATGTAATAATATTTAAGTATTTTAACATTTTTAATTTCCGTATTTGTTTGTCCCTTTTCCCCTTGGAAAAATAAACCGAGTGAGTAGGTTTGATGAACAGATTTGGAGAACTGTTTGCTGCTGGAAGCTCAAAAAACTGGAATGTCCTTGCATTATTTGAAGGAATAGACCCCCTGCAAAAAGGGAGAAAATACTTGTATTTAAGAGCTTATATCATCCCTTCTATATAGTCAGAAGTAAAATAGTATGACAGAAAACGTTTACAGACCCTGAGCAAGATTGCAGCACCTTGAGGTGAGCAAATTTGAAGGGTTCATGCTAATTTGAAGCAATTAAAGGTTTCTATGCAAGACAGGTTCAATGCTGTGAAACACTGGCGACCTGAGAGGCCCCCACAGTGTATGCTAGTGGTAGATTGTTGTGCCTCTGTGATGATCCGATGACTTTCTGTGAACACTTATAAACTGTTTATTCAAATTACAAACATTGCAAGAGATCTGTTCCCTGTACATGAGTCTTAAAATCGCAGCGGTCAGAATTGTAGAGTGGGAAACACAACAGCAGAGGAAAGACAGAGGACTTTCTTTCTGCCTCCTCATAATGGCTGAGTATCTAAGGAGTTCTCCTTGGTAAGACCTCTCTTTCAAGCATCCCCTTCCCACCTGCGTTGTAGGGATGTGCAAAGTCACATCTCGGTGCACGCCCTGCCCAGCCGGGGTGTTTGGCTGAAGGCGGCCAGGCCTTCTGCTGCTGGGGCCCTGGACCCACGGGGGGCACTTGCCAGGCCCCGGGAATGCCGTTCTCTGCCGCGCCCCCGGTGTTTCCCCGGCCGTGATTCGGGGCAGG